GGTGTATAGATAATGGATGGATAGACACTGAGCTGGATGGTAAATATTAAGAGAACTGTCTGTTCTCTGGTTTGTGTTTCCTGCTCCGTCCTGCCGTCTGTTGGTCAGGCAGTGTCATTACAGCCATTTAGGAAACCAGCCGATATCAGGTCTGAAACAAGGACTGTTCACATTATGGTTGTTTAACCAAAAGGAGCCAACATATTCATGAAAAGGTGACATTTTAGTCGTACCTCTATGAAAAAACAGTTCATGATAACCAGGAAATACATCTAATCAATTACATTACTTGTGCACAAGCAGGTAGGTTGTACTAAGTTTCATAAAAAGAATCAATAACCAATAAAGAAAAAACAAACTGCTGAGAAACATGCAGGAAATGTAATTTTAACTGTGAAACACTGACAGCCAGTGTCTGAACCTGCTGCATCCTTCAGTTTTTTTCCGATGCTGTCACCCAGGACAGATCATAATCTCATAGATAATGATTATAGCTCTGCGGTCACAGCTTTCAGTCTAATAGACTAAATGTACACGAGTGGCTTTGACACTTCTTGATTTTCATCGAGTGCCCGTAAATAAAGAAGAACAATGGGGCTGACTGTGCTGCGGTTAACCTGCCGCTCCTACTCCGGTGCCAACATGCACGCAGCTATTGAATTTAAAGGGGAAGGAAAGTGCTTCTTTGTTTGCAGAGATATAGCTGCAGCTCTGCCTGAACATAAACTGTATCGCATCTACAGATAAACACTGATCTCTCTCTGTCTCTGTATTTTTCCTCGGCAACCCTAGCCCCACTCAAAACACACCTAACCACACATTTAACCTGGATTTACTGACACCCTCAACATTATAATACACAGATAACAACAATTTAGTCACCGTAGCAGATAAATGGGGATGTGGTGTGTCATACTTAATGTCAGAATTTGTTCAAATGTGGGAAGAAGTAGTTTAAATTTGCAAAAAGTTTTGTGCAGTATGTTTCATACCACACAGAAATGTGACACAATACAAATGTACAAACATGTTTAAATCATGTGGTGAGTTTTAGCACTTTTTAACATTTATATACATTTATGCTTTTCCAGTAGACAAATAAGACTGACATGATGAATTAATCTCACAAGTCTTAATATTGAGGCCCAACAAGGTGAATTTAACTATAGTATAGTATCTTAAATATGTTAAAGATTAAAACACTACAAAAATTAAATTAAAACAGCTTGAACTGTTAAAAACATTAAGGTCAAAATACTAGAATAATTATGGAAACTAACCAGACTAATTAAAGTGTTATGGCTATGATCCTACTACATTATTATTAATGAAGATTAACCTGATTTATCTAGAACTAAAGCTATGACCCTACAAATATATACACGAAAGCCAAACAAATCTGAGGATAGAATAGAATTAAGCACAATATAATAAAATACAGCAGATTAGAAGGTTATAGTACAGTACAGAACACTGAGCAGAATAGAACACAACCGATAAAAGACATAACTGAACATAATATAGTGGAATACAGGTGATAAAATAGTGTGAGCTCCAGTGGTGCTTTACCACCTGCTGCAGTGTCCTTGGGTGTTTAGTCAGTTCACCATCTTTGCTTTGCAGGTTTTTCATCAAAGCAAATGATTGAACAGTAGAATTTTTTGACCTGATCAGCAGAATTACTTGTAGGCAAGTTAAGCCTCTGAACTTTTTTGTCCCTGTTACGTTTTTACTTAATTAACGTGGGTTAATTTTTCATTGCAATATAAAGTCGTAAATCGGCAACAACTTAACTAGAAACTATAAAGACTTTACACATGCACTTTGTAAAGAATCTATGAACAGCTGGTGTGATCCAGTCCACATACTTACATGTCCATCGTCTATATCGGGACTTTGCTGAGTTCAAATGCTACGACAACCTGGTGCAGCTGGTTTTACAAACTCACCTTTTTATGCTCAGAGTGATGAATGCGATTGTAAATGAGTTACTGGTAGGACATACTAGAAATGAATTTATCAAGACAGAAATATTGGGAAACCAGACCCAGATACACACAGGTACCACAGAGTCGCCTCCTGGTCCACACTGACCTTTGACCTCCAGCTTGTGGTCCACCTGGGCCTCTCCCAGGTCGTTCATGGCCTTGCAGGTGTACATGCCGCCATCATACAGACTGAGCTTCCTGATGTCCAGAGTGCACACTCCTTGGTTGCTGAGCACAAGGTAGCGGTTATTCTGATTTTTCATTCAGATCACTTTGGGCTCCAGGAACACACACAAACATCAGCAGCATCATGATGTTTAACCAAGCAGACTGACTGAGCTGCCTTGACCCCTCGGTCTTCATAAAAAATGAGGGAACACAGATGCATCACTACATTTGGAACTTTTTGGGCGTTTTGTGCTCCTGTCACGTTTTCTACTCCATTGGGCTCATTTTTCATATAAAATCCTGCATCTCTATGGAAACAGCACAACCATGACTAGAACTAGAGGGAATCCAAAAATTACTTAAGTCCACTATGACAGTTACAGTTAGATAAGTCATTTTAAAAAATGTTGCTTTGATTACTTATTTTACAATGATTCAAAAAACAAGTAATCCACATGTACTGCATTTGTCAAAAGATGATGGCTCTACATGCTATAAATATTTTACTACTTCGATTTTTACAACTTCTACAAACTCTGTGTTTTTCACATTCCCCTGCACAATAATTCTATAAAGACGTTTCATCATGCTGAATGCATCTTTCAACAATTTGCTGACAACTTGCTCGTCTGCATACCATTTTTGAACTGCAATGTGTTGATCAAGTATGTTTTACTTTCTTCTCAGACTCTCTAATTTGTTTCGATACTTGTCTTGCCAAAAGTGCATCAATTTTTGTCACGTGACGTTTATTTTTTGGCAAATTGTAGAATAAAGGGATTTTGATCAAATATCCTAATTGTAAGCTTAGATTTGGTTAATTTTCATGGAAGCGTTCATCACAGTCTGACTAAAAGTGCAATGATTCTTTCTGTTTTCTGTTTCTGGCTCTGATATATGGTGTAATGGTGATTTTCTAAAAATGTCTTTCAATGCTGCCAGCCAGTTTTGGGATGCTAATGGACCACCAAAACTTATTACACATCATCCTCTGGGGACCACAGATGTGTACAAAATGTAGAAGCCATGCTGGCACCATTTGGAACCTTCGAAGGATGCTGCTGGTGGCTGAAATCAGTCATAAATTTAATAGAAGAGCAGAGAATAGAATAAAAAGCACAGGAGAGAATAACATGAGTTTGTAAGTACAACAATCACCACGTTGCAAACGATTGCAGTAAGTGATTTCTTTAGATCAAGTAGCGACGAAGAGCACTTATGAGTAATGCTAAAGAACATAACACATAGAACAAATAAAAAAAAAAGACACAGCATCGACCTCATGGAGGACGGTCCTCGTCCCACACAGAGCAACACCGGCTCACAGCTGTCAGGCCTCAGCTGCAGCCCGACAGGTTGTGGTCTTTAATTTATGGAATGGAAACAAGGAAAGACGGAGTGGGAGAGAGGACGAGGTTTGTGGTTCTGTGTTTTTATCAGCCTGCTGCACAGGCAGGAAACACACACACGAACCACACACTCGCACGCACATTTGCATGCTTGCACACGCACACACGATTTACTGCGACAAGGTGTTTTGCTTTACTGGTGGAAAAACAAGAAAATGTTCACTCAGGTGATGATACAAATCCCATCATGAGCCACATCACCTGAGAGAAGACGTGATGTTTTTATCGGTCACACTATAATCTGTGCATCTCTATTTCTTTGTTTCCATCATGTTTCCAGCTCAGGCCTGACTGCCATCAGACTTTAAACGGCTGAAAGGGGAACTTCAGGAGCAAGTCGGTTGATATTTAAAACTGCACGCCCGAGATAAATGAACTTCTCAAAAAGCCTGTGTTTATTTGAACAGAAGGGTTGGCTTTGTGGGGAAAAAAGACAGAGGCTGGCTTTGACAGTGATCCCCACTTTATTAACCATTAACCTTTACGGTCACGTTTATCTGAAGCTGTGTTTAAAGCGTTCTGGTCCTTTTTTTTTGTTTTGTTTTTTTTGTTTTTCTACAATGAACAATAAACACCTTCAGAACTCAGAATATTAAGTTTTGATTTTGAACTGTAGGTGCAAAAAACTGAATGAAACAGGAGAATGAACTTGTCTTAAAATCTTTGCAATGGACAAGAAATTGATGTAATAAATGATCATGAGTGTTAAAAAGAATTTTAAAAATATGACGGAAAGGAATAAAGACCTGAAATAATTTGTGTTGCTCTTAGGTATCCAGGTAGTGGAATATTTTTAGCGAATTGAACAAGTGTGATGGCAGAGTTTCAAAATAAAACGTATATGTTTTTACATTTTCTAACATGCAGTTACAACTCCTTAATATTTTAGCTTAAAAAAAAAATTGCCGACATTAAATAATACTAAAGTGAACCCTATCATTAAATGGGAGCTAAATAAATATGTACGTATTAATACAGCCAATTACAAATGATTAATATCCAATTGTTTCATCATATATCTTTATGCAAATATTAATTTATTTGCTTTATTGCCGGAAAACGAAGACCACAAAGGAGATTTCCCTGCACTCATTCAGGCTCAAATTTCAGGTTTCAGAAAAGTGCTTAACTGGATAGCCCCGATTACAGCTGTGTATGTTAGATACACATCTCACCCAGTATGCAAATCTCAGTTTGGTCAGGCTGAGAATTGGTGGTATTCCTCAGTCGAGAGTGCAGTAAAAGAGGTTTTTGTTGTTCGCAGATTGTGATCTTGACTTTGAGTGAGAGAATGATGCTCCGATGTCTATCTGATCTGCACTTCCAAAAAAGAAGAAGTGTGCGACACCATTAGAATTGACCCGGCCTCTCTAACTACTCATGTGGCTCCGCTGTGAACAGGTATTGGAGGTCTGCAACATATATATACCTGTCCAAACTGTACACCTGCACTAGTGTAGCAGCGTTCACCCGTTAGGACAGAAATGGCCTCAACTGAGGGAAACACTCTGACATACAAGATGGTGAGTTGTGAGGACATGTTCTTTAGCTGTAAATGAAAAGGTTTATGCTTTAATGCTTTACTTGAAATTTAGCCTGTTCAGTACAATATTAAAAAGTTTTTCTATGTGTATTCTAGACGTCCTTGGACAGCGACATCAACCAGCACTTCCAGGATGCAATCGATGTGATTCAGCAGCATTCAAATAATTCATACTATGATTCAGGTAAATGTTAAATCTTTGAATTTTTTTGTATTCTTTTTAAGCGGTTTTTCCATCTTATTGAGAGTGAAAAGACTGAATAATGGCAGTTTATGTGGATAGTGTGATGCTAGATGTGTTCATCCCTCTTTTTAACTTTATAGATTACACATATTATGAGACTCTGGGCACCCAGCAGACGTCTCTGCAGTGTCAGATCTCCTGCTGCTATGTCACGCACCAGTCGGATGTCCCAGTTCCTGCTTATGACTGGAACGACACAGCTGTAAGTACTGCAACCAAGCAGCAATCTGAAAAAGAAAGGTAAAGAAAGAAGGAGAGTTTATTTCAAATGTCTGTCTTGCAGCAGCAGTCCTGGCGTCAGGTCATCCCTGATGTTTCCTTGAGTCACTCTGTGCAGAACGAATCCCCACATTTCTGCTCCATCTTACCGCCACAGAGGAACAACAAAGGTGATCAAGTTAGGATTTTCTAAACATGAACAGTTCTGTCGTTTGTGTTCTATCTAAAACAAGACTAACCTCCGTCTCCTCAGGTCGCAAGAAGCTCAGGCTTTATGAATACCTCCATGAGGCCCTGAACGACCCCAGTATGGGCGACTCGATCCAGTGGACGGACAGCGGCAGCGGCACCTTCCACTTTGTCTCCAAGAACAAGGAAAAGCTGGCTGAGTGCTGGGGCCAGCGCAAGGGCAACCGCAAGACCATGACCTATCAGAAGATGGCAAGGGCCCTGAGAAACTACAGCCGCACGGGCGAGATCATGAAAGTACGTCGCAAGCTCACCTACCAGTTCAACCCAGACATCCTGCAACGGCTCGGCTCTGCACAGGTGTCCGTGCACCTGCCCTGCCACCCCGCGCAGGAGGAGGCCCGCAACCAGCAGCAGAACCCGGCCGAGCAGAGCTACTGTGGCTCTGCAGTGACGGACTGGCACAGCTGGTACGGACACTACCAGCTGCCGGAAGACTACGACCTGGCCTCCAGCTTCACCTCACACACCTCAGTCAAACTCTGAACATCTTCACGGAGGGAAAAATCTCTTTAAACACCAAGAAAAAATTTTAAAGACTCTCAAACTTTCTAGGATCGTGTTCAGTCTCCGTACGTTTTTGTACATTCCTATATATATATATATAATTAATCAACAAAAGTTGGCAGTCTTCAGTTTGAAGGTTCCATTAGTTTAACAGGTTGTGCATTCATGTAATTTAATTGTAACTATGAGTGCTTAGATTTAGAAAAGACTTCCTGCATTTAACTAAAAAAAAAACAAAAACAATTTTGATCACTTCAGGAAAAAACACATACAATTTATTCTATGGAAAAAAAGACAGTGTGAGTACGTTTGAGTATATCTTATTTTTACCAGGTTGACCTCTTCAGCCTGCATTCAATAAAGCACAAATTAAGAGAAAAAATTAAGTCAAAGAACCAGATCTAAGGGGTTTTCAGACATTGATTTCTGCAAATTTCTTGGCTCCATATTTAGTCAGTGCATGGCAAATCTGGAAAAAAGTAAGTCATTAAAACTTTTTGTCAGTTTAAAGTGTTTGCATACATTATTTTGGTTCTATTTTAAGCAGCATAATGCTTGTAAATACTTCTAAACTTTAAAATATTTCAAGTTTAAAAAAAAAAAATAACAGGAATGTAAATGCTTTAATTTGTAATGCATTAAGTCATGTTTGTAGGTTTTTGCATGTGTTTTACTAAAGCATAATTTCTATTTTTACAGTCAAATCTGGGAACAAGCTGCCGGTTCCAACAGGTCCTTAATCATAAAGATTAACTGCAGGTCTTAAGAAGAGATTAAACCAACTGCAACAAAATTAAAAAAACTTTCAGTTTAACTTTTTTTTTTTTTTTTTTTTAGCTAATTCAGAGCATTTATAAATTTGATCTTATCACAACTACTTTAATGTAACAGTAATTTAAGTTGTCTATGGTTTCAACCAGTAATAAGCATTCTTTAAAATGAACTGTACATTTTGATTTTTTTAATTGAAAATATGAAGGGAAAATGTTGTATTTAATGTGTATATATTTGCTTTGTATTAATACATGTTCATTATATATGTCTTGTGTGTTCTTTTCTACAAACTGTTGTTATATATTCCTGCACTATACTATCTGTTGATGCTGTTTTTTTGTTATTTTTTTTCTGATCTGCCGAGGAGCTACAGATGCAAATTAGCTCGAAGCTATGATCTGGTATGATGCATCAAAGAGTGATATTTATGTTTGAGCTGTACACTGTTCATTTTTAAATAATACATTTGAAAAAATAATTAAAATTTGTTTGTTATTCATTTCTAAATTAAAATATAAACCCCCCAAAATGATTCAGTTCTCTCAAAATTGCTTACTGACTTACTTATTACAGCCAATGCAGCCAATAGAAGAACACACTATTATCAAACTAAAATGTAAAGACCGCGTTGAAAGACTTGGCACCGTCTCCGCTGCAGTGAAATATTACAACAGGCACTCAAAATATGAAATTAAGACACATCCTGTGAGGAAAAATATGTCAGCAAGTGTGTTTTTCCTGAAAAGAGAGCATTGTGTCGAAGCTGCCTCCAGGCCAGGTCTTATCTGCTGCAGCGGGGAGGATGTGGTCAGTGCTGGGAGGCTTTGTTGATGGGCTGTCTGGTGCTGGTGTTGGGGCTCTGTGGGAAGGTGGTCATTGTTCCTGTGGGCCCAGAGCAGAAACCTTCTGGTGATATGCAGAAAACCACCGCTCCTGTGGAGGGGTATAATAAGAGTCTCGGGTGTCTCAAAGTCAGTTGTGTGAAATTCTCCCAAACTGCGAGGACTAGAATCAGCCTCATCAGTGATGGTAAAGAGCAGATTAAGTGCACTTCCTGAAATATCTCCTCAAGGCAACAACTAATTATCTATTTTTATCAGAATTCTTTCCAGGACACTCAGTCTGATTTGGAGGTGATTTTAGAGTTCCTGGAAGAATACTACAGACAAACCTCTGCAGAAACTGGTAAGAAAAATGTCCGGAAAGCTTAATGAGATGTCACTCAATTTAAGTGCTGGCTTTAATAAATGTTCCCCTTTTTCTAGGAAACAAGGTGTGCTGGACTGGTGGCGTGCCTGTGGATGAATCATGCGAGCAGCGCTGGACGTACTGTGAGGCACCTGTATGCATTCACATGTTTGCTTGACTGCTTTTCTTCCACATTTACAGTAACATAGAGCCAAGTTTTAAGTGGTGTGGGGTGTGACAGTCCATTGTTGGTATTGTTTTACTTTCTCCTGCATCAAAGAGCATCAAACCTGCACCTCAGCCCTTCCCGGCACAGGATAACCCACCAGCCCTCAGCCAAAACACAGCAGTAACATTGTCTGAGTGTGGGCCACTGCCAAGCTTGGTATCAACAAGACAATCAACCAAACACCCAGCAACAACAGCGGGGAGTGGTGAGTTCTCCTTTTTTTTTGGTCACTAGATACTGTTATTGCCCCAGTTGTTATTAGCCTGAGGGAAACAATACATAAGAGCAAATAAAGGACCTTCCCTTTACCGTAAAAAACAACGGAGCTGTGCATGGCTTAGCTTAATAGCTGTTTTTACATATCTATCAGATAACCGCAGTGTTTACAGCTGTAGCCTCTCTGCTGAATGGCGTCCATCACTGAAGAGATTTTCTGGGAATCGCTGTAGTTGAGGAAATGATTAACTGTACCCACTACTAACTGTTTTGGCCCATCTGCCATGACTTTCCCTAAACCACCTCTTAAATCGCCTTCCCCAAACATGTCACGTCCTGTTTGTTCGCAGGTAGAAAGGTGCGACTCTTTCACTTCTTGTTTGAGATGCTGGAGGACCCAAACATGGCCCACTGTTTGTCCTGGGTGCCAGCGGCCAGCGGCGTTTTCCGCTTTTCTTCCAGGAATAAGGACCAGGTGGCGGCGCTCTGGGGGCAGAGAAAGGGCAACAAGAGGCCCATGACCTACCAGAAGATGTCCAGGGCGCTCAGGAACTACGCCCGCTCAGGAGAGATCTTCAAGGTGAAGAAGAAGCTCACATATCAGTTCAGCCGGGACACCCTGATATCCCTGCAGTCGCTCAAGTGTCAGCGAGGAGATTCGTAATGCAGATTTTATGTATATGTGCTGTTCCTTTTTTTTTTTTTACTGTTTAATGTCTGAGAGCGTCAAGCTTCAATTACATCTTGTGTAATTTTTAGTGTGACAAAGTGCCTTGTATTTCTGACTTCTTGTGGTGTAAATATGAAAAAAGAAATAAAGAAAAGCATTTTACTGTTTGAGTTTAAACTACTGTCTTTGTACAGTTGGTGACTTTGGTTTGCAGTGTTTATCGTTTAGAGTAATAAATCTTTTGAAATAAATTGTTTTTGTTGGACCTCACATTTAAGCCTCTGAACCCCAAAACCCACCAGCGAGTTTGAAAGATATGTTATCTTTTTTAAATTATTATTATTTTATGAATGAAAATGACACCATTCACCAGAGCAAAAAACTGTAACGAAGGAATCGTTGGATATTTAATTTTCAAATGTTCCTTGAACTAATCGCAAGCGGCGTGAGGTCCCATCTGCAAAAATAACCAAAATCTAAATATTAACTTCTTTCTACCGCTTTCATTTAAAATGCATCAAAAATGGTGTTTGCACTAGATTCTGTAAAAGACTAAAAATTCTGTTCACCTCAGTGTAATCCAGATCCCATAACTGACTCAGCTGCTACCAGCAATGGTCTGAAAAAAAATCAGTGATTTGTCATATGAACTGCAGACTGTAGTTACACACAGCAGAGATCAGAGTGATTGCAAGTGAAATGTAACACACTTGATCAATAAAATGAATGCAGCGTGGCTCCAAACCTGAATACAGGAGTTGTCAGCAAGTTCTTCGAAGATACATTCAGCACGGTGAAACAACTTTCAAGGGCTGATGTGCAGAGTTTGAAACAAGCATAGTTTTCAGAGGCTGTAAAAATGTAAATATCTATAGCATGTAGAGCCACCATATTTTGGTAGTGCTGGCAACACCTTATTGCATTAAAAATAATGTTATGTGCATCATATCTAACTCTGTTATACTGCGCAAAAGACATGTTTGAGATCTCTCTGCTTTTAGCCATGATTATGTTGTTCTCATAGGAAGTACAGGACTTTATACTGCAGTGAAAAATGAAGCCATGATGAGAAAAAAGGTGACAGGAATACAAGAAAGAAGCCCAGAAATTGCTCAGGGTTCAGAGGATTAAACTCCCAAGCTCCTTAGAGGATGAGAAGGGAAAAGATGCAAGAGGGAAATAAAGAAAATTTTGTTGGCTATTGCACAGTTGAGAAGTGACACCAAGGATCAACTTAATTTACTCCTTTACAAACATTAATTTATTAAAGCTTGGGTTTATGGAAGCGACAACAGTGCAGTCAATGAGTATCTGAACTATGACACATTTTACTGAAGGAATGGACAGGCTGGTTTTCATGTGTTAAGTTTTGGGACTTTGTCAGGCTACAGCACTCTACAGCACAGAATATATTTTTCAGCATTTAGTTTCTGTGACACTTGCACTTTTGCTCTGGCTTCACTCCAGCATGTTGCTTTTTTAAGGAAAACATCTAAAAGAGCAGACTTTCAGCTGTGCTCCCTCCAGTTTTTAAATGTTTAGTTGAACAGTCCCTGCACTAATCCTGCAAATGAACACCTGGAGAAAAACTAACTCTATACGCATTAAAAAGGTTGAAAGATTGGAAGCATTCGTTAAACTGTCACAGTAACAACATTCTGCAGCACATAGTAAGTCAACACATACATGCCTCTATAGACTACAGAAAAAGTTAAAAAAATAAAAAAAATAAAGGTGTTGTTTTGTTGTGTGCGCTCGTATTACAAAGTAGGGAACTATTGCTGCAGCTGCTGCTATTATTGCTGTGGGATTGCTTTTATATAATGGTTAACATTGAATTGTCTCTTCACCTTGTCATTGTTTCATTTCTGAACCAGTAAGTGTTCTGTGGCCAGAGCTGATAAAGGTCACATAATTGCAGATTTTGTTGCTGCTTCCAAGAGCTAATATACTCAGTT